GCTTGACACCCCACTGCTTGACACCCCACTGCTTGTTGGTTACCTCACGATCTCGCTGAAGCTGGAGGGCCTTGCCCTGCTCTCAGGGCCTGCTCCCTGGCTCAGCTAACAAGTCACTTCACTTCCCCGAACCTCACGTTTTCTGATTTGTGAAATTGAACTAACTGTAAATATAAATAGAATAAATACAAAATTAAGTTTTCAATATTAACGGAATAAATACAGAATTAAGTTATCAAAAGAAAAACTGGGTATAAGTATTGTAATGACCACATTGCTATACAAAATCTGAAGGGTGTGAGATTTGGGTCATGCCCGGGTTCATCCCCTATGGCAGTGAAGAATTCGGGGGCAGTCAAACCAGACTCTTCCATGAAGCTTTGGAGCTGGTATTGGAGACACCAACACCAGTTTGGGGGCTGAGGAACTGTGCTAGATTCACTCCTTATCATTTGGTTCCAGGCCAGATAGAAGGAGACCCTCATGGGGTGCCATCCTGGGCCCTGTTGGAGTCTGGAACGAGGCCCATCTGTCTCATTCTCTGTGCAGAGTGTTCTGTCCTCCCAGGGCGCTGAGTGAGTGAGGAGCTGAGCCTTCCATCTGGCAAGGGAGTTGTGTTCCTCACATAATTGCAGGACAGTATACTGGCAGAAGCAGGCAAGGTGGTTTCTGTGACTTGCAGATTTACTGCCTTCCTACGTGACTTTTGCAAGCCAGCCTCAGGCGCAGAGTTCCACCCACCCACGCCTCCTGCCTTTGTATAGCGCTGGATGGTGAAGTCCTTTCTCAGGCATTACCTTGTGATTTCCTCACCAATCCTGTGGGCTGCGCAGGCCAGGTTTTCTTATCCCCATCAGACAAGGGAGGGGACTGAGGCCCCGGAGGTTGAACAGACTGCCCAGGTTCATGGCTAATTGGGGCTTTGACTAGAATACAAGTCTTTGGACACCAGCCAAGAGCTAAGAATTTGGAGAGTGAAGGGAAAGCCCTTATTTTTGTTCAGAGTTGTCTCAGGCTCAGAGTTGTCTTTGGTGCTTTCTAAGAGGTAGCTTTTTTGAGGTTCCTTGTTTGAGCCCATGAAATTTTGATGGCAGATCAGGACTGGGAATCAGGCCTCCTAACTATTAGCCCTTTGCTGCAACTGACTGTGGGTTGGGTATTGACTGGTGCTGTGGGGGGAAGTATGCGTGTTTTGCTCACGTGTATCGCTGTTTTGGCATTCCCATAATTTTTTAATTTTTGAATGGAGATCATCGCCAACATAATTGTTTTGGCAATGATCTCCATTAAAGATTGGATGACTCCCCTCTGTTTCCTCCCTGCATAATGCCAACCTTAGAGGGACCCTCACTGTCACCCCTGGCCCCATCGCCTAACTGGGTGACCTCTGCGCTGTGGGGCCTGCACTTCTGGCTTTGGAACCTTTCTGATGAGTAGACAAGAGCCCATCACTGTCACTTTTTCACCTGCCCATGAGTCCGCTCAGGCCTGGCCTTGGTGTGTCTGCTCTGGGTACGGTGACCAGGGTGTGCCTGAATGCAAACTTCCACTCCTGGTATCCCCCAAGGCCCAGGGTGATCTTCTTTCTTGATATGCAAATAAATATTGGGGCAGTTAGATTGAGGACCCCTCAAATAAAAACCATGCTCGTGGGAAGGACAGCACTCCCCTCCTGCTTCCCTTCCCCCCTCCCTTCCTGTCAGATCAAAGAACTCTTGGAGAGGGGAAGGAAAAGGACAAGGAATAAAATGAGGAACAGCTGTGTGGGGTCTTCTTCTGTGAAGTGCAGATAATCGGAGAACTGCTGTAAGTCAGGGTTTCTTGGCCCTGGCCGCACAGTGGAGTCATGGGGGAGCTTTTAAGCATGGTTACGTCCTCACTTAATGTCATCAGCAGATTCTGCAACTTTAAGCAAAACAATATGTAAAGAAACCAACTTTTACCATAGACTAATTGACATAACAAGAATTAAATTTCAATAGCATCTCCTCATTTGTTATAATCAAATGACATTATTCAAGGATCTGCTGTATCTTGATTTCCAGGCTGTGGCCTCGACCTAGAAGAACAGCATCTCTGGAGATGGGACCCAGGCACCAGTAGTTCTAATGCCCCACACAATTCCAAGGTACAGCCAGGGTTGAGGACCACTGCTCTAAGGATGAAAAGAATTGTCTAATTACTCAGACCAGAGACATCCCCCAGCTGACTGTGCACTGGAATCCTCAGGGAGGCTTTTTGAATGGCACGGATTCCCTGGCCACACATTGCAGACCATTTAAATCAGCGGCTGCTGTGTCTAATGCCTCTTACTCAGCCTTCACGTGAGTCACAAACGGGTTGTCATAATAGCTACCATTTGTTAGTGCTGACTATGGGCCAGCATTCCAGATACTTCCAGTCTTCATAATTCCCATTTTACAGAAGAGGAAACTGACACTCAGAGCAGGTAGCCTCTTGCCCAAGGTGACAGCTTAAGTTCTGAACCAGACCTTGAAGCCTGCTTTTGTGGCCAGGGTCTGCCCCTAGTACGGCATATTCTCCACTCTTCCCAGGAACAGCCCAAGGAGAGAGAAAAAACAGCAATTCACCTTGGCTCTCCTGAGGCTCCCGAGGGCAGTTTGAGAAGAGGACCCCACCCTGTGAGGAGAGGGGCGCTGAGGGCTCTGGCCTGGGCTTTGACTCCCAGTTGGTCACCCCCTCTCAAAATACCTCCTTCGGTGGGAGGAAGAGGCTTGCTCATTAGGCCTGACCCCAGTCCCCTCTCATTGCCACAGCTGCTCTCACAAAGGGAGAACTCAATCAGGAAAAGCAAACACTCCTTTGCTTTTTGAGAGTCAGGAGAATTTTTTAAGCATGCAATACAGAGAAATGCTTTTGTTTCCCTCCTAAGAATAGAGGAAGTTACATCAAGGTCACCTGAAATACTTATTTCTGCCTTATAAAGACCCTGTGCCTCCACCTCCATGCTCTGTAAGCTTCCATAAATTGCTTAAAATCCTTAAGCTTCTGTTTCTCATCAGTCAGCTGGGAAGAGGGAGCTGTCTGCCTTCAGGGCCGCTGACGCCAGGCCCCTGGAGGCTCCAGAGCAGGAGGAGAGGAGTGTGGCCATCCCGGTGCTGAGACTCACAGCCGCCAGGACTGGAAGCTTCGTCAAGTGTTTGCTGGCACTCGCTAAAGGACCCGATGTCCCCAAGGCCCAGAGTGGCTCCTCGTCACCAGCTGTGTTAGAGATCTTGCTGAATGTATTCTCTCTGGCTTTGGGAGGACTGGCTTCACTCCACCTGCGTCAGCCGGGTGTGTGGACAGCCGAGAGCCAATGTTGGGACATACATAGCTGAAACTTTAACGTTAGTGGACAGTGTAACATAAATTTGGCTCCACCAAGCCTTTTCTGCCCAGCCCAGGCCCCAGGGCCCTCTCCCTTCCCAGAGCTCCCTCTGTACCTGTGTCTGGGCCTTCGGTCCCTGCCCTCGATTGCCCAGCACAAAGCCCGCACAGAGCAGAAGCTCAGCCAGCTCTGAGTGAGTGGAGGATGTGTGTCTGGTGGCATCTCTAAGGGGGTTGCCACGGCAGGTTGGCATATTCCCTGCTTGCTCTACTTGACTCTTTTTTCTCACTTAGGTTTATTTTGAAGGTTGCCTCACGGAGTATTATTCTAGTAATGCAATGGTTTAGATGTGATGCTATTTTCTGAGGTTGAGGCAAGTCTCCTGAGTATTTTATGGTGTAGCTCTTACCCCAGAGCCAGTAAGAGAGTACATCCTAAGTGTGGAGTCTGGTGGACCCTTTTTAAGCTTAACCTAAGATGTTCTGGGTTCTGTCTCAAGCAGTGGGCATTGTGGATAGCAAGAAAACATGGGGCAACGACGGAAAATGGCGCACGGGGAGTGGGAAGACTCCTGGGGGGAAGGGGGGTGGCCATGGGGCAGTCTCTGGGACTCAGCGCTGCCCCCACTGGCCGTTTGGACTGAGATGGTGAAACAGAGGCTGCTGCCCCTCCCTAGGGTGGGAGCACTCAGGGACGCTGGCTCAGAGCCACATGGACACCAGATTGTGGCTGCTGTCTCGGTCCACAGAGAGAGGGATTTCCAGGCCCAGCCCTGACCCCTGTACCTTAGAGGCTTTGTGGATGGTGGGCTATGCGCCTGTCTCTGGGGCCTGGCTCTGCCATTAACTCTCTGATGCCCTCAGGAGAACGCCTTGACTTCTGTGCCTCAGTTCCCAAACACTTTACAGCTCCATGGTCCCATCAGTTCTCTCACTGCAATGAGCTCCCACTACAGGTATTGACAGTGTTAGGCTGCCTCCAGCCCCACCAGGATCCCCGCCAGCCCAGCGCGCACGCCCTTCGTCCTTGTCTTTACGTCAGGTGCATCATCTGCCTGCTGTTTGGTCCCCCTTTGTCAGTTGCTTGGCTCATGTCGGGTAATTGAGATTTTATTTGTTAGGAGGGGGTTGGAGGCAAAAGGGAAAAAATGAGAATATAGAGGTGTTTGTTACCTCACAATTCCAGATGGACAAATCTACCCTTGTATCCAGATATGGGAGACACAGCTGGACGATGGTTACCATTAGTATTTTGGCCCTGCTGGTCTTTTTTTGTTTTTCCTTTTTAATCTTTTTATTATCTAGTATAAACCTCTGGACATTGTGATTTCCTCTGGTGAATACTAGACTTGGGTTCTAGCTGGGGCTTTGGAATGACAAGGCTGTGTCGCTTTGATCAGATCGATAACCTTCCAGGGCCGCAGTGTTCACGTCTGTACTCTGGAAAGGACAACGCTAACATTCCTTCGGGAGTCTCAAGAACAGAAGGGAAGCTCAGTGCCTGCCCCACTCAGCCACTGTTTGATGGCCAGGTGGGGATGCTGGCTGCTGGCGACAGGGTCTGTCCTGCTCAGCAGAGTGACTCTGCCCTCATGTTGCCTGGGGGCTGACAGGTCATTTCCCTGATGGCCACAGTGACACCCTAATTGTGTGAATCTGTGTCCCCACAGCGGCCAGTTTGCCATTGTGAAGAAGTGCCGGGAGAAGAGCACTGGGCTGGAGTATGCAGCCAAGTTCATCAAGAAGCGGCAGAGTCGGGCCAGCCGGCGGGGTGTGTGCCGGGAGGAGATCGAGCGGGAGGTGAGCATCCTGCGGCAGGTGCTGCATCCCAACATCATCACGCTGCACGACGTCTTCGAGAACCGCACCGACGTGGTGCTCATCCTGGAGCTGTGAGTGGGCTGTTGGGGCCCATGGTGGGCAGCAGGGCAGGCGGGGCGGCGGAAGCTCCAGCCGCAGGTTCCGGAGGGCAGCAGCAGCCAGACCTAAGCTTGGCCAGAGGAGATCAAGTCGGCGGTGGGTGGTTCCCCTCAGTTACCCCCAGCCTCCTTTAAAACCTGGGCCAAAGCAGGGTCCAAGCAGCAGGGACAAAGGGCAGCAGAGGGCAACAGTTTATTTAGGTCTGGTTTTTATTGGGCCCTGGGGATCAAAGGGAAGACATGGCTGAGGCTGGGGCCATTTCCTGGCTGGCAAATGGGTGGGAGGGGGAGGGGGGATGGGAGAGAGGGGAGCAGGGGAGGCTGTCAGGCAGGGGTCTGTTCTAAGGTCAAGGGAAGAGCAAACACCCTTCGGGCTTGGCAAAGCCCTTCTCCAGCCCTTTCCTGGAAAAATTCATTGCATTTGTGTTGTGATGCCTTTATTGTTATAATAACTATTATTTAGAGAGCATTTGCCACATGTTTCATGCTTGCCATCTGTTCGGTCCTCACAGGGACTGTGACGAGGGACATGTCCTACTAACGCAGTGAGGTTCCTTGGCATTCACTGTGCCAAGCAGAGCTCTTACCTCAGTTACTCCTCGTAATAGCCCTGTCCCTGGGAGACTCTTCCTAGTCCCACTTTACCAACAAGAATGCTGAGAGACCAGGTCACTTACCCGGTCTGGAAGCCAGGAAGTGGTGGGGCTGATGTTAGGGGACCAACCTTGGTCCAAACTCTCAACCGCTGCCAGCCAAGAGACAACTCTGAGATGATTTTGTGAAAAGGAATGTTATTGTGAGCTTATAAGCAAGAAATACGCGGGAGGGTCACTCCCAGAACAGTGCGTCCCTTAAGCAAAGCATCTGATCCCTCTCTGTTGGGGGAAGTCCTGCATAAACATCAAGGTGAGCTTTGTCACTGCATGGACAGGTGGGGACATTCAGGGCACCAGCAGTTGGACAGTGTGGCTGCATGTACATCGCATGTTCAAAACCAGTGGAAAAGGCCCACCTCCATCTGGAGATGTTGGTATGATCATGAGAAAAGTTTGTGAGGAGGTCACTACAGGGTCTTAAAAGCAGCTGGTCTCAGGCAGTTTCAGCTGGTTCGTCCCTTGGTCCTGAGAAACATCCGGGGCTTGTTCCTGAAAGCAGTCCTGGCAATTGTCAACGTAGGGGATTGCGGTTGTTATGGAAGGAATTTTAGCTGATTACCTCTTGGTCTTTCTGTGACACTTGGCAAATTACAACATACGCATCACACAAAACATATAAATTCTCGGGTGATCTAAGTGGGGTTGCAGGTTAACCAAGGCAAAGTTATAAACTCTGAACAGAATGTTAATCTATGCTAGGCTGCGTATCTGGGTTAGCTAACCCCAGGACTTGCGTCCACACTGCTGTGCAGACAACTGTGAGCGTGAGGTAGGGTGGCCTGATGCTGGCCCATCCTGTTGGAATCTGGATAGGTGTCACCAAGTTCTCAGGGACTGTCCCTCCTAGACGTGTCTCCATGGAGTGGAAATGTGGGGTTCTGCTAGACAAGAGAGTTTGAGTTGTGCTGTGGCACAAGTCACAGGGGCTGTGTCCAGTCAAGCAGCGAGACACTGTCCTGACACTGTTCTGAGCCTCATAGGCACGGATGCACCTGCCAGTCAGCAGAGGAGCGGTGGCATTAGTCTCAGCAACCCCTGACTTTGTGGTCTTGGGAAAAGTGACCTTATTCCCCTCTCATCGGTAAACCGGGCAGCCATCCTTACTTAACCTGCCTGCAGGTGGGGTGGACCACCTGACATTTGAGGTCACTCTAATTTGAGAACAATGCTCTAGTGTTGCCAGGATATAAATTTATGTGGCAGACGGGCACTTGAATGCTCTTACATTTGATTCTTAAATCATCATCTCAGTGTTTAAATGCATAGTGTTGCTCATGTTCTCCCCTTCTCTAACTCCCAGTGTCCTCTGCATTTCTCCCACGACCCTCTCAGCCAGCTGGACTAGTTGGTGTGTGCGCCTGCCTGGCCCAAACAAGCTTGGTGGGTTCCCACCAGGTGCCCAGCCATGTGGACACCCCAAGGTGTGACAGCCCCCAGGCTAAGTAGGGGTCAGCGGTTGGCACACTGATTCCTAGCAGAGAGTGACAAGCCCACCTTCACTAGGAAGGTCAGGCCATTTCTTTAAAAAGTCTATCATCAAAAAAACTTCACAGCAACTAAAGAGAAATTACATTCCTAATCCAACTGCCCAAACACAGCTACTTAGGGTTTTTTGTGTGTTTCCTCTGTCTTTATTTGTATACTATCACTGTACTTGTAGAATTTCCTGCTCTATTTTGCCCCCCGTTAACATGATTCCTTAAGTGGCTTTTCCCCTTTTAACCGACTGTATCGTTTCATTAAACTACATACTGTCTCTCCCTCTCCTTGATCATTTGGTTTTTATTTTCCAGCTTTTAATTATTATAAATTTTACTGCTGTAAAACAACTTTCTTCCCATAATTTCCCCCTTTTCTTTTGAACTAATTCTTTCAGATAATCCTCAGGACCGGGAGGAGTCGGCTGACATATTTAAGGCTCCCGGTATCCTCTCTTTCACAGGATGGTTAACCAGTACCGCCTGCGACACAGGTTCCTATTTACTGAAGCCTGGCTAGCCCAGGGCCACTTGTTTTAAAACAGGGTTCGTTACTTATTCCCTGTATAGTTATAAAAGGACACTTTGTTGTCGTTTTAATTGGTGTTTCTATAATTGCTGTGGAAATTGCCCGTTTCTCCCTGTTGGTGGAACTCCAAGGAGTCGGGGTCCGGGGTGATCCTGAGATATCCCTGTTTCTTCTGACAGGGCTCACGGTCAACCAACAGCTATGTGCCCTCTTCTTGTGAGCAGTCACCATTATTACATCAGTTGTCACACTAGTGCTGCTGTGACTTGCTTGAACTGCCGCGTTTGTTGAGTTCTGTCTGTTCCTAGTTTTTCTCTCCCCTCCTTTACTTTCCAGCTGTCTTACTGCTCAGGGTGCCTGTCCACATGGAGTGCTAGGAATCGCTAAGACTGCCTGAACCACTCATGACGAGGGAATGAGAGGGAAGACCTCCTGGGAGAGAAGGGCTTTCCGTGGGCTTTTGTGTTTGGGCTTGGTGACTCCTATTGGGCTGATCAGGGGCCTTTGGCCTCCTGGTCCTCATTGCGGCCCTACTAGGTTAGTGGGTTTGCTCAACGGGTGTCAGTGCCCACATGCTCAGTTGCAATTTGCAGGTTTGTGGATGGTTCTATGCTGATACCACTGCCCCTTATCACCTGTTGTCTGGTGTGGGCTTCTTCCTGAGTTCTGCTGAAGTGGCTGGCACTAGGAGAACATGCCCAGCTCTGATCTGAGTCCCTTTCAGCTGTTATTACCTGAAGCATAACCTCCTTAGCAGTAGCTGCCTCTGGTCAGGGCTGTTGAAGACCAGGCTGGGGAGGATTTAGTTGTCCATGTATATACGGTTGACTTCTATATGGTATAAAGGATATTTTCAAAATTTCAATAGATTAACTCATGTCACATGTGAAGCTTGCTCTGAAAAATGTATGTCTGCCCTGGGAGGGTTGGGCAGCTCTCCCATCCCAGGCCCCGGGCACTCTGGGGCCTCCTTGACTCTGAGTCCGTGGGAAGCTGTCCCTGGCAGTTGCACACCAAAGAATGGCCTGGCCGAGGGCTCCAAGGTGGAGGCAGTGCTTCCCAGTTCCCCGAACTGAGTCCAGCTTCCTGGGCCCTGGCAGCTCCACCCACATTCTTCACGTCACTGCCTATAGGTCATTGGAACACACATTCTCAAAGGAGTTCTGAAAAATGTTTCTAGCAGGGAAACCTACCTGCAGGGAGGAAGGACACAGAGGTCAGATCAGCAGGAAGGGGACTGACGTTGGGGACTCTGGAGCAGAGGAGTCCCAGATTATTAGGCTTTGCTTTCCCTCTGCAAACTAAACAGGTTTGGGATGTGAGAGGAGAGAGGCTTTGGAGGAGGCGGGGAACGGCCCCAGCAAGTGGTCTTGGGGCTGAGCGGCCCTTGGGAGAAACTCTGTCGGGGGAATGAACAGAACCTTGAGAAGAGTTGCCTGAGCATTGACGAGTGTCCCCAGCGTGGGTGTCCAGGACTTGGTGGCGGGCTCATCAGCCTTCCATCTTCTTGAATCTCCAGGGGAGATTCAAGGGCCACTGCGGCTATTTCCTTCTTCACTCAAAGGAGTTGTGGTCACACTGAGTCTCCTGCTCAGATCACACCTTCAGACAGAATGGCTGGTACTGTCCCCCAAAGTCATCACATAGTCTTCACATCGGGGGCTTTGTGTGACTGGACATGTCCCCATCACCACGCTATGCTTTTCCATTTGTGCAGCATTCCACTTAAGGTGGGCATGGTAAGCTGTGCCCCAGGTCACAGCCTCACAGAACCCCGCAGGGTCCGGGAGTATTAACAAGCGAGGGCTGCTGGGTCCTGTGTGTTTCCGAGGGGGACACTATCGACTTGAAAATTTGCAAACAGCCCTTAGGTCTCTTGCAAATGCCAAGGTTTCACTTCCATATGATCTATTCTATGTTGTGTTTATATTTTTAATTTTTTTCTTTGCTCTGTTCTTTTATTCACCTACCTTCTGTAGGTGAATATCTTTCTTGCACAAGGTGCTGTGAATGTAAAGATAATCTAGCTGGGGAGACACAGATAATGGTACCCGGTGTGACAAGGACATGGTGCTGCTAAGCAGGGTGCCAGGGGACTTGCCCGGTGCCCAGAGTGCCCATGAGCTTTCCTTTCCACCTCAGCAACTCCAGCTATATAACGTGGGGGACTGGAGCTGAGAAGGTCTGTGCCTAAATCATGGGTCTGGTGCTTACTAGCTGTGTGACCCTGGGCCAGTCGCTTGCTCTCTTGGTAGCTTCAGTTTTCTCACTTGGAAAATCAGGACAGTAGCTCCATCTGCCCCTCAGGGTGAGTGTGAGTCTCGAGGGAAAGACTGCTTGAGGAGGCACAAGCTCAGCTGGCAAACTCTAACTAAACTGCAGATGAAGCCCTCACCTCGGCCTCTGCTGGGGACAGTGTAGTGCATGGCGTTTACTCAAGGACTTGACTGAGGATCTCATAGCCCTGGTCCAGTTTAACAAGATTCTTCCCACTCCCCTCTCTAAAGGGGGCCATTAGGCTATTTTCTAAAAATTTCTGTCTTACAAGAAGGAAAACTGGGCTCTGGAACTCTCATGTTCCGCACCCCAGGGTGGAGGCAGAGTCTAAGTTGAGGGAGCACTGGGACCTGCAGAGCAGACTTGGGGGTGCTCCTTCAGCAACTGCCGGGGTGCTCCAGTTCCAGCCCCTTCCCCGGGGCAGGGGGCGGAGGATGCCCTCACCCATGGTCACATGGGTGACAGAGTGGGCCACACCCAGGTCTCTCTGAGTAGAGGGGCACTGCAGCCCTGCTCTGACAGACAGTACGCTCGCAGGCGCCATCTTGTCTCACCCTCTCTTCACCCCTTCACCTTCCTCTTTCGCTCTCCCCCCACCTTCTCTCTTTCTCTAAATATTTACTCAGCACCTATTATTTGGAGGAGACCTGGACATAAAGCCTAATTCATGGCTCCTGTCCTTGAGGAGCTCACATCCCAGCAGGAATATGCACTTCTGATATCTGTCCATCTACTTTAGGGAGACATTTTTAGCTTCATTTGACAGGTGAGAAAAGACCAAGGCAGAGAGCGACTTGCTAGTAAGAGGCAGAAGCAGTGTTCCAGCAGGCCTTCACCTCACTCCAAAGCCAGCGGGTGCACAGGGACTTAATGCCACCTACGTGTCCCACTCTCGTCCCCATTGCGGGCTTTACTTGTGCTGTTTCCTTGCCTGTCACACCTGCCGTCATTCTCTGCTCCCTCTGTCCAGGCCCTGCCCAAGTCTCACTGTGCTCCCAGCACCTTCTCCCACCACTTGAGCCTGTGCTAACCACATGTAACACAAATAATAACACCGTAACGGAAGTCCCCATGGATGGAGCCGATGGAGCGCTGTCCTCTGCCCGTAGCTGTGTGGAGAACCCTGCTTGGTGCCCTGGCTAATTTGCTTGTCAAAACAAGCTGAGGAGTAGACCTTCTTGTTCCCGGCGATGTCTGAGAGACATTGCTGAGAGAGTTGGGGCAACCAGTCCCAGGCACACGCTAGTGCACAGAGACAGTGTTAGAGTTTGTGCACGGAGACTGTGGCCAGGGCTTGGACGTGGTCTTGACCATGCACCCCTTGCTGGGGCACACTACATGGGCACTTCCCCTGCTATGGGCCTCAGTTTCTTCATTTGTTATGAAAGAACTTCCATGTGGTGATAGTCATTATGTAGGAGGTTGGACAAGGGAGAACATAGAGCCTCTTCCCCTGGAAGTTTGTTATTCACTTCTATTTTGGAGAATTTCAAACATATACAAAAGTAGAGAGAATAATGTCAGGAACCCCCATATGGACATCACTCAGCTTTGAGTTATCAACATGTGCCAGTCTTGTCTCAAACAAAATTCCTATTCAACTGTTTGTTTGCTTTAACATTTTAATATTATTAAATTTTAAATAATTTTGAATATTTTAAAGCAAATCTCAGAAACTGTGTCCTTTCACATGTAAATAATTTAGTAGGTCTCGCTCACTGATGACGGTTTTAAAAACTTCGGCCACTGTGTACCTATCAGCCCTGGCAGGATTACCCAGGCAAGCCTCGGGACTGCCGACGCCGTCTGTGCTCCAGCAAGTAACAGTATTCTCCAACGGACCCGCAGCTGTCTTTTTACAGTTGTTTTGTTTGAATAAGCATCCACACGAGGTCCCCACACTGCATTTGGTTCCTTTGTCTCTCATGTCGCTTTTATTCTGGAGCACTTCTCCTCCCCCTTTTTCGATGCCAGTGATTTGTTGGGGAACCAGGTCCTTTGTCCTGTTGATTGTCTCACAGTCTGGATTTGGCCCAGTCCTTCCTCATGGCGTTAACTTGTCCCTCTATCCCCAGTATTTCCTGTAAACTAGAAATTAGATCTAAATGAGATACCCTTCTTATTAGCATTGTCTAATAGAAATATAATACAGACCACACATGCAATTTTATATTTTCTGGTAGCCACATGAATAAGAAGTAAAAAGAAATAGGGGAATTAATTTTAACAATATTTCACTTAACCCAATATATACCAAATATTATTTTAACATGCGATCAAGAGAAACATCATTAATGAGATATTGCACATTTATTTTTCATACTGCATCTTCAGAACCCAGTGGGTAAGTATTTTATGCTTATAGCACATCTCAGCTTATCAGCCATGCAGTGGTTAGAGTAAAATGCAATCCTACCAAAGCAGTAGAGCTGTGTTTAGAGGAAAATATTTTACATCACTTCACTTTGTTCATTAAAATGAATTAAAATAAAGTGAAGTTTAAGGTTCAGGTCCTCAGTTGCACCAGCCATATTTCAGGTGCTCAGTAGCCATGCGTGGCTAGTGGCTGCTGGACTGGACGGCGTATGTGGAGACTGTTTCCGTCGCTGCCAGAAGTTCTGTTGGACAGCACGGGGCAAGAGGCTTAAGCAGATTTAGGTTTGATTTTAAGTTGCAATACTAATAGGTGGTGCTGTGTACTTCGTATTGTACCACATCAGGTTTTGTTATTCTAGTTTCGTGATGCTAAGAATGATTAGTAAGTCCAGTTGTGCTTCCAGACATTTTTAAAGAAAGGAGAAAGAAGATTTTGATGTTCTCCACATAGGAGAGACTGGGTGGCAGGCAGTGATTCCCAAACCTGGGACAGAAACCATTCTGGCTGTATAAGATTATCCTAGGGCCCTCAGTATGGCATGGTGGTTGAGAGTCATTCTGCCTGTGTTTGAATCCTGACTTACTAGTGGTGTGACCTTGGGCAAGTCACTTTACCTCTTGGAATCTCTGTCTCTTCAACTGTGAAGTAGGAAAGTAACAGGGCTTAACTCATAGGGAGTTGTGATGACTAAATAAGGCGATGTGCATGCAGCGTACATTCTGCACAGTGTGAGTGTTCAGTGAGTGTTACTTGCGGTTATGGTATTGTTATTGTAAAACTACAGGTTCCGGGGCCCTGCTGCTCAAGAATCTGGTAAGGTCTGTGGTGGAACCTGTGAATATGCTTTTTAAGTAAGTTCTGTAGGTGACCCTGAATTCCTGGACCGCTTGGCCAGATCCCTTCCTGAGACTTTCTCCTGCGGTGACCCTTGGCTCTACCCCTGCCCCAGAGAAGCACATGCTGGCTAGATACCCTACCACCTGTCAGAGGGTTGCCCGATTTAGCAAATAAAAACCTTCTGTTTTATCTGGCAGTCCTAAATCCCTAGTTCAGATAAAACTATAAACTAGTTTTACAGGGGAGATTCCCTTTGCTCTGTGGGTGCCCATTCCTGTCACATTTATCATAAGGTGCAAGGGTATGAAATGTGAGGACAAAAGTAGTATTTTATAGTTTTTAGAGATGATTATGATTAATAAGTCTTTATGTTTAAATTAGGCCATCTTTTATAAAATCAAAGAAAGGGGCTTTAGGAGCCCTCTTGCTCAATGGGCTCATTTTGCAGATGAGGGAACAGGCCTGCCTGGAGGGCATCAGTGAGTTGTCCAAGGTCAGTGGCAGGACTAGACTGGAATCCGGGCCTCCAGTTTCTGGCCCAGCGTATGTCATTCTTTGTTATCCTACAACTCTTGTTTCTGTCCTCTGCCACCTCAGGCACATGTGGGGGAGAGGTGACACCCATGGTAACCAGGGACCTGGTCCAGAGCATGAGCCCAGAGCTTTCTGGTGAACCCCTCAGAATAGTTCTCACCGCTGTGACCCAAAGGGATAACCACAGCAAACAGAAGCAAAGTCAGCGCCTGGTGCTGGCTGCACAAAGCCCAGAGAGGAGCGTGGGGATCTCGCCACACAGGGTGCTCAGGGGCCAGACTCAGGGCTGCAGCTTTTGCCCCACCTGGGGACGCACAGGGCTGACCGGGCCCTCCTGCGCTGTCTTGCAGAGTCTCCGGAGGAGAGCTATTTGACTTTCTGGCCCAGAAGGAGTCGCTGAGTGAGGAAGAGGCCACCAGCTTCATTAAGCAGATCCTGGACGGGGTGAACTACCTTCATGCCAAGAAAATTGCTCACTTTGATCTCAAGGTCAGTGGGGGGTGGTGAGGGAAAAGAATTGATGTAGGAAGAATGGGCCTCGTCTCTTCCGATGTCATTGCCAGGAGGGGCCAGTGCCCATGTGGCCCTCCTCCCTCATCTCAGAGTTGAAAACTCTGGGCTCCCAGGAGAGAAGTGATGCCATGGAAAGCGTCCACCTCCCCAGTTTCATTTGTCATATTAGGGTTTCTTCACAGAAGTGGACTGCAAGTAACCTCTTAATCAGACCACATGTTCCTTACCTCTTTGAGGAACAGGTGGGGCGTAATTTGTAAATAAGTAGGCCAATGACAGGACCTCGAAACCAAAGACATTCAGCAAGATTGGACTTTTCAGTAAGCATGAGCTAACTGCCGAGGAAGTGAACTGGAAGCCTTCAGAGGGGACGGCTGGGGCGGGCCGGCGCTCCAGCATCCCTTAACCAGAGTTGTATCCAGGATCACTGGCCTCCTTCCCCCAGCCCGCCCCATACTATGGCCATCAAACTGCATCCAGCTCCCACCGATCATTTGTGGTAACTGTTCTTCAGGGTCAAGAAGGTTCACTGTGACCACACAGGACCTTAAAGCAAGAGTGTGGTCAAAGTAGAATGATCATTTCCCGTAGTTACTGAGCTCCTTTGCACAGACCGATGAGCCTGTACAGGCACCCAAAGCATAAAGATCTCTAACCCATGATCCGAGGGACATGTTTACTCATTTTTCTACCCAGAAACTCCTGTTGTGTTTCAAGCACTGTGCTGGGTATTGCTACAGATACAGAGTCAACTGAGGCCCTGTCTAGGCTTAGTTCTTCTTCTCCAGTGAACTTAGTACAGAAGACAGAAAAGAAAGATCAACAGTTCTAAGTGTTGTGATAGAGGGAAGTGCAGCAGGGCTAGGGAGTCTAAGAGGATTATTTAAATCAGACTGGGGCATTTGAGAGGGCTTCCTGGAGACAGTGGTGCCTGAGTTGAGTTTTGAAGGCTGGGTAAGCATTGTGAGAGGGGAAAGGTCTTCTTAGGAAGAGGCCAGCAGTGTACATGGTCCCCAAGTAGCACATGCATTGAAGGAAGTACAGACAAAGGGTGAATATGCTGAATGGATGGAGGAGTTAAGCGGAGAGCAGGAGGCAGACGTGAGGGTGTGGGAGCTCAGCCAAGGAGGTGGAACTTTACCCCGAGGGGTACTGGGGGCCAGGTGAGCATGGAGGCGAGGTGAGCAGGTGTGTGTTTCAGAAAGGGTCCTTCTGGCCAGAAGGTTGGGTAGAACGGTGGCAGCCTGCAGCCTAGGGCCTCAGCTAGGAGGTTAGTTCATTAATCAGGTGAGGTATAACAACCATCAAACTAATTTGAGGAGACAGATTTAAGACCTGCTTCAGAGGTTGATCTGAAGATTGATCAGGTGCCTGATTAGATTTGGGAGATGAAGGAGATGGCAGAGCCCAGGCTGACACCTGAGTTCTGACTCGGGGGACAGCCCAGCGGCCACGGCATGCCCATGGCCTCACAGCGACTGCATCGGAGCGCGGGCTCTGTTCTGGCACATGGATCTCACCCCCACGTTTACTCTACATCCTGAGGCAACCTGCTGTGTGTCCCCTCTCCTTATCCCATCGTCATTGTCACAGTATATTGAAATCCTCCAACAGAAGATTTCTTACAGAGCTTCACAGGAGGTAAAAGTTGGGGTCACTGGGGAGGGCGTGGCCTGGGCAGACCCTTGCAGGAAACGCTCTGCCTGCATTACATCTGTGCCTCCTTCCCAGTGATACTATGGGCCGTTAGCTTGTTTTTGTGTCTTTGCTGGTTCTAAGCAGACCGGCCTCAAAACGGCCTCCTTTGTCTGTTCTCTAATGTGGGGGTCCCCAACCGCTGGGCCTTGGACTGGTACCGGTCTGGGTCTGTTAGGAATGGGGCTGCACAGCAGGAGGTGAGTTTGAATGTGATGTGCGTGAATCATCCAGAAACCATCCCCCTATCCTGGTCTGTGCACAGATTGTCTTCCCTGAAACAGGTCCCCGGTGTCAGAAAGATGGGGGACCGCTGGAAATGGGTCTGGTGGAGGTCCTCAGGGCCCATGAACTCGGCAGGTTTGTGCTGTATAGTCTGCTTCTACGGCAGCTGGAGTTAGCCAGGTCAGCATTTGTGTCTGCCTCTACCGTGTACCAGGATACAACTGAACTAAGTTTTCCAGCTTCCATGCAAACAATGATACCTGCCTGACAGAGCTGTTGTAAGGGCTACAGAGAAGCAGCGTGAAGTGTGGAATACCAAATAGGTGCTCCGTGATCGGAGCTGGTGGTGTTATTTCCCTCTGCAGAATAGAGGAAAAGAAATACAATTCTTGTTACAGTGTTTTGGGCCCCAATCAACTGGGGGAGACAAAGCCTGCCAGTGCAATTCTCCATCGCCCAGCAGAGAGCTGATTGGCTGCTGGGTGGGGCTGCCGGTGCAGGATCTTCACTGGCTCCTGGGCTCAGTCTGGACGTTTTCCGCAGTCTGGAGACATATGGATTTCTCCTGGATGCATGTAGGGAAGGGATTCGGCTAGCATCTGCCCCGGCCTTCTCTCCTTAGAGTTATGTGTGGACTCTGAGTCTTCCGACTTCCCGCCAGTGGGTCCCTTGGCCTGGGTCCAGCTAGGCCACTTCAGAAAGTGATAAATAGGGGGACCTCAGCTGGAGGGGATCACACATAGAAGACCCAGCTCAGAGGGGACCTCTCAGTTCCATGTTGTCTCCCACCTTATCAAATTCGTTTGATATGAACACAGTTTTATTCCCAGTCTTCATTCTCAACGAGGGGTCTCTGTTTTCCTCTCCTCTTTCATTCTGCCTCATCCAGCAAGCCAGGCTAACCACGTGGAGTCCACGTTCCTACCCATGACCCGTTCTCCACTCTCGCTTTCCAGCTTGAAGGAGCAGGTGATGGGGGAGGTTCAGCTCTCTGGCCTGTCTTCAGAATACAAATAACATCTACTCCTACGCCAGCCATTGTACTGGGGACGGTGAGCCTCTGTCCCTGCTTGCGACACGCTCCCAGCTCTGAGGCAGAAAGCAGATGAATGGACCCAGTAACGGTGATAAGCAGTCTTGGTAAACAGATCACGGCATGCCGTTGCCCAGAAATCTGATGGATCCTTATAACCCACAGGAAAAATGAACGAGTTCTCAGCATAGCTCTCAGGCCTTTCTTACGCTGCCTTTGCCTTGATTCTGGCTCTGTCCACCTTTCCTCACTCCAAGACGCTAGTCTCGGCCAGGCAGACCACAGATATCATTCTGGCCTCTCTCCTCCTCTGTTCGTGCTGTTCCCATCCAGGATGCTGCCGCTCTTCCTTTTCTCTGCCTGTGGACTTCCGCTCATCCTTCAAGGCCCAGCAGAAACACGATTTCCTCTGGGAAGCCTTTCACCTCGCTGTCACCTCCCAAAGCTTAGCTGAGAACTAACCTGCCTCCTTGCTTCTGTTGCCCTTTGTACAAACTACTGCTGAGAGCACTTATCACTGTGAATCACTTCCTGCTGCCTGTGTCTAGTTCAGTGACTGACACCTGGCAGGTTACTCAGTGTGGAGTGAATAAGTAAGTGAATGAATGAGAATGCCTTAGTGAGACCAAACGCATGCATGGATGGCTAAGGCCCTTTTATGTCAACCAGAAAAAGCAAAGAGGTTGCAGGCAGATTTCAATTCAGTGGTGTGAACATTCATTGAGAGACTACTTTAGGCCAGAAGGCAGAGTGACAAACATCAATGGGATATAGTACCCGCTTTCCAAGGGCCCACCATGCAGTGAGAGATGGCCACGGTGGGACTCTGTGGGGGGACCACCTGAAATAAAAGCTAACCCAAGAATGATCACTTCCAAGGGGCAAGCTCTCCGCCTCAGCAGGGTGAAAACCATCCTGGAGTGGGGTGTGGATTCGCCACAGAAAGGCCTGCTGGTGTGGGAAGCAGGAGAATGCCTGTGTGCACACAGACGGGAGGGACACGGGGGCTGACACCGCTCAGTACTGGGTAGCACCTGATGTGGCTTCAGACACGCCTTCCGCAGGATGGGTTAGCAGGGATTGGGGCTCAGTGCCACCCAGGGACCTCACCCTGGTATATAATCCCAACCCAAATAAGGGCCTTGTAAAGGGCATTTTGTGTGGTTTTCTGTTTATTTTGGAGTTAGGAGGTTCCTCCCTGAGTGAGGGTGTGTCCCCACCCTCCCCCACCACCTTAACCCTAATCGACTTGAGAATTCAGGAATGGGAGGTAGTCCTCAGGCCTGACTAGTATTTAAGGGAAAAAAAATAGGACATGAGCGTTGAATGAAATTGTATGCAAGCCCATAACCAAAAACTCTCAAGGGGGCCTTTCTGATTTCTATAAACAGTGTTAAGCAGCGGTAACTCTAAAAACCCAGATTCCTCTAGCCCCGAGCATCCTTTGAGCTGTTCTTCTGTTCATGATGTGGTGGGGTCTGTTCATCGAGCTTTCACGGGAATGGTACTAATAAATGCTTTAATGTATGTAGTGTGTTCTAGAAGGTACATGCTTACACCTGTTCTCTCATTTGATTCACAGCCATGCATTGAAGTGCAAGGTATGGCCACTTTTTTACACACAAGGCAATTGAGACTCTGGGCAGGTTAAGTAACTCATTCAAGATCACACAGGTATTAAATGTCAGGGCTTGGACTTGAGCTTAGTCAGTGAGGAACCATTAAGCAAAGCTGGGTGTCACCAGCTTTTATTTCACCAGATTCTAACAGTGCAGATTTCTCCCTTGGGCCACGCCTTTTACACATGGCTAATTCAAAGGTCTGTACTGTTGTATACATTTATTCTTTACACAGTTAATTCCTCAGCTACATTGTTTTTTCTTTCTAATAAGCTATTCCTCATTAGATATGAGGAATATTTAATTATGATTATACTATTTAAATTAAATGGATTAATTTGTATTTTATTAATTGCTATAAAATGTGCATGCATTTCAATGAGAGTAGAACTTACAAGAATGAG